TAGTAATTCGCATAAACTATTTAGTATTGGTTATAGGTAAAATTCAAAAGTGTATGAAAAAAGATGTCGAATTTCGACAACTGGGCGATACTAGTATTTACAAATAGGTAAAAGTTTTAATAGTTTTGGAAGGCACCACGCCCCTTTTTCAATAGCCCCCACTTTTCTCCATGAGTATGAGATTGATTTCAAATATTTCCATACCAAGTTTTAGGGGTCTACCACAAATACTTCCAGAGATATGCGGTATGAAAAATTAGATTTCTGTGGGATGTGGCACGCTTCCTTGATATATCGAAGTTATTATCAGCCTATAACCATCCTTGGAAAGTCTGCAGTAGGTGGGTCTCTTCTTCTTCTTCTTTATTAGCCGCGTTCAATACAGCATTCCAGTCATTTCTCTTCTATGCCAACTGACGCCAATTGGAAATGCCAAGTGAAGCAAAGTCCTTCTCCACCCGATCTTTCCAACACAGAGGAGGCCTACCTCATCCTCTGTTACCAGGACTCGCATATTATCTGAAGAATTGGAAATGAGAAAGCTGTGTCCAAGATGGGTGCCGCATTTTCCCACACTCGGTCAAAACCAGTGTCGTGAAGAGGTTTCAATTGAGTGTTTAGCGAATTAATGAATTGATGTTTGAATTGCTACCTCATGCACCCTGTTCGTCAGATTCAGCCCCTCGGACTATTTTCTGTTCCCCAACTTCAAAAAATGGCTCCGTGGTCAAAGATTTTCTAACGATGAAGAAATGATATCGGCAGTTAATGTCTATTTTGAGGAGCAATACAGTTCTTATTATAAAAGGCGTATCGAACTTATTGAGCATCGCTGGGAAAAGTGTATAGAGCTGAAAGGAGATTATGTTGAAAAATAAATATATTTTTTCCCAAAATTTTTGTGTTAGGTTAGGTCGGTTAGGTACTACTGGGACCAACCCCGTAGTTTGGGGTACATATTTTTAGGCTTCGTTTTCTGCATGAACATTCGCAGTCTGGTTTTAATACTACTGGTACATATCAAACGGCGTGTGTTTTTTTATAAAGGGCCGACCTAATAATGATAAAAAAAGGCCCAGTATTCGTAACAAACTGTGAGGTGGAACAACCTTTTTTCATGCGTACTATGTATTCAGGGACTACGGTCAAGGTCCAATATAAATAATAGAAACTCTCATCAAGAAATACGATCGTTTATACTTTATTATTACTAGACTGCGGATGTTTATGCAGAAAACAAAGCTAAAAAATATGTACCCCATAACTATAACCAAAATGTATACAAATTCATTTATTTTGTTTATAGTTAAGTGGTACATATTTCTAGGCTTCGTTTTGTGCATAAAAATCTGCAGTCTAATTATCACCAATGTAATATGTAAAATTTATGAAACTTCATGAAATGCCTGTATCCGCCAAAAAATTTTTTTATGGAGCTATTTTCTATTTTTTATCATGTTACAGTTAAGAATCGTATTACATATGTACATATCTGTATGCACCAGGGTTGCGTGATTTTGATTTAGTCAAATCACAAATCCATAAATCAAATTTATTTCTGAAATAAGAAATCCAAGTCATTTTTGATTTGAATCGCCCTCCAAATCAGAAATAAAATTGATTTGTGATTTGAATCGCCCTTCAAATCAGAAATCAAATATATTTGTGATTTGATTTGTAGAGCGAATCGTTTGATTTGTGAGTTTTCAACTAAATAATATTTTTTTAGGCAACGCAACTACTTCGGAATATTTGGGACTAGGTCGGAATTTTTAGGACTATCTCGATATTTTCGGGTGTTTTTCGATTATATCGGGATTTTCGATAATTCTTCGGGATTTTGTGGACTATTTCGGGTTTTTCGAGACAACTTCGGTATGCTCGGGGTTATCGGGCCCATATTTGGACTACTTGGGGTTTTGCGAGACTTCTTCGGGATTTTCTCTCGGCGGATCTCAGGATCTTTGGACTATTTCGGGATTTTCGAGAATTCTTCGGGATTTTCTAGACTATTTCGGGGTTTTCAAGACAATTTTGGTACTCTTGGGGTTCTCGGACCATATCGGGATCTGCGGTATTACTTCGGGATTTTTGGGACCATTCGGATTTTGTGGTACTATTTCGGTATTTTCAATACTACTGATTACCTCGAGATTTTCGCCGTTTTCGGGTCTATATCGGGATTTTTGGTCTACTTAGGGATTTTCGAGACCTCTTGGGGATTTTTTGGACTATTTCGGGGTTTTCCAGACTACCTCGAAATTTTCTTGGTTTCCGGGTCTATATTGAAATTCCCAAAATAGTTCCAAAAATACCGTCACAGTCCCGAGAATCCCGTAAATCTCGAAGTAGTCTCGGAAAACCCGAAATAGTCCTAAAAATCTCGAAGAGGTCGCGAAAATCCGGAAGTAGTCCACAAATCCCGATATAGTCCCGAGAACTCGAACTGAAATCTCGAATTTATTACGAAAAACTCGAAAATTAGTCCCAAAAATCCCAAAATAGTTTAAACATTTCTAAGTAGCCTCGAAGATCTCGATATGGTCCCAAAAACCAGACAATCTCGAAAAACCCGAGAACCCCCGAGAAAAAATCCCGAAGAAGTCTCGCAAAACTCGGAATAGTCCAAAAATCCCAATATAGTGCCGATAAACCCGAAAATCTCGAATCAGTCTCGAAAAACCCGAAATATGTAGTACCAAAAAATTCGAATTGGTCTCGATAACCCAAAATAATGCCGAAAAGTCTCGAAAATCCCGAAATAGTACCAAAAAATCCGAATTGGTCTCGAAATCCCGAAATAATCCCGAAAAGTCTCGAATCCAAATACCTCGAAGTAGTCCCGAAGATCCCGATACAGTCTCAAGAGGCCCGAAAATCTAGAAATAGTCTCGAAAAACTGGAAATAGTTCCGAAACCTTGGAATTGGTCCCAAAATTCCCGAGATGTCCCCAAGATCCCAGTATGGTCCCGATAACCCGAAAATCTCGAAGTAGTCTCGACTAATACGAAATAGTTCCAGAAATGTCGATATATTCCCGAGAACCCCGGAAAATCATGAAGTTGTCCCAAAAATTTCGTTATAGTCCCAAAAACACCGAAAATCTCGGAAGTAGTCTCGAAAAACCCGAAATAATTCCGAAAAGTCTCGAAAATCGCGAAATAGTCCAAATAGCCCGAAGTAGTCCCGAAGATCCCGATACAGTCCCAAGAACCCCGAAAATCCCGAAGTAGTCTCGCAAAACTCAAAATCCCGAAGATCCCAATATGGTCCCGATTAACCCAAAAATCTCGAAGTAGTCTCGAAGAATCCGAAATAGTCCCGAAAATCCCGCTGTATTCCCAAGAACCCCGAAAATTTCGAAGTATTCCCAAAAATCCTCAAAATTTCGAAGAAGTCAAAAAAATTCCGAAAAAGTTTAAAAATCTTGAAAGTCTTGTCGCAAATCAAATGATTCTCTCTACGAATCAAATCACATATAAATTTGGTTTCTGAATTGGAGGGCGATTCATTCTGATTTGGTTGACGAATCAAATTACAAATATAATTTATCTCTTATTTGGTTGGTCAAGCAAACCACAAATAAAACTTAGCAAACCAAATCACAAATCAAATACATTTGTTAATTAAAAGCGCATTTTAAATCGAAAAAGACCAAAAAATTCAATGACCTACCTATCTTTCTCTACTTCTCCCTAGGGAAGCTTCTTAAAAATAACTCTATATAAAATTATGGCGAATACTACAACAAGAGCTCCAGAAATTTGAATTCCAAACTTTATACAAATTTTCATAAAAAGTGTTCACTCCTTAATTACTCATTTCAGAAAAAAATTTAGTATGTATGCAATTTTGTAGAAAAAGTTTTCTTAAGGGTATATTTATAATGTGGTCACCGAAAACAAAAAAATAAAAATAAAAAACTTCCGAATTGCAAAAAAATATGTCTACGTAAGCCCCATTCCATAATACACTTCCAAAAATAGGGGCACATTTTTTACAATTTTCTTAAATAGGGCTAATGTTGAGGTTTCACTAGGCATTAAATGAAAAAAAATTTATGACTATGCTCTAGGGATGTACGATTAATCGGTTAATCAAGTTTATAATTAATCATAATCCTCTTTAACTAAATGATCTGGTTAATCAGATTCTGATTAATCAGATCCTGAGTAACTAATGTTTACCAAAAAAAAAAATTAATTGAAATCTGAACAATTTTGTTGATGTCTTTTTTATGTTTTTTTGTATGTACAAATATTTTTCTTATTAATAAAAATAAAATGCCAAACAAGTACTTACAGACGTAAATATATGCATATGTATGTAGATCATTAAAATGAAAAATACGTACATATGTACATAAGTATAAATTCTTTTCTATTTTTGTATACATACATATGTATATATGTTTTTAAGAAACAAATTTTAAAATTTAACAGCAATTACTCAGATTTCTGGCTAATCACGTTATGATTAATCAGTTTGCTGATTAATCAAATTAATTAGATTCTGATTAATCAATATGTAATTAATCGGAAAAATCGCTTTCGATTAATCATCTTGTTCGATTAAATGATTTCGCACATCCCTACTAAGCTCGGCATTGAACATATTGTTGCCCTCATACAGAAAAAAATAATCTCACACTTTTTTCAAATAACTCTAGATATTGAAACCGTTATGAACAGTGTATGTATGTTTTAAAATTACTTACAATATAAGTTTGCTCAGATCGCTGTGTTTTGATTTTTTGTAAAAATTAATCATTTCGATTCGAATCGGTTCGAAAATCGATTTTTTTTCGATCTGGAATTTCTATTCAGTATGCATATTCGCTTCTAAAGCGGAGTCTGCACAAAATTTTAGCAAGAAATTTTTAAATAATATGAATCATGATATACTTAGTAATTCTTCATCATCTCGAATATGTCGCGCTTTGAATCGTGACAGCCTTATATTAAAAATATGTAAATATTTTGAATTTTTGGTTTTGCAGTGACAGAAGCGGAACGCTTGAAAATGGGTATGCAAAAAAATGGGACCATACCATTTTTACCTCAACCTGAAGAAAATGAGCAAACTAGCACCTCACATTGGCCTAAATGCAGCGTAAGCTAATCTTTGTTCCCGTTGGAAAAAAATATGTTAGTTAATATGCAATTTTTAAAACCAGGATTATTATTCTTCCATTATGTATGTGATCTTTCATTGTAAACCGAATAAAAATTATAACCAGACAATTGAGAGCAAGCCAGGAGTAAATCCTGACATAATTTTACCTTTGTCGGGCACTTGTACCTTATTCTTTTGTACCTCTATAATTTTTATTGGTACAATTTATTGTTCTTTGATTTTTATAGTTGTTCAACAATTTATACAAGGTGGT